CATTTCCTTTGTTTAATTGGATAATTAAAATTAGGGCTAAGCGATTCTTCCCAGGGAGTCGAGAGGTTGATTGAATGGATCTTGAGACATATCATTATCATCTGCCTATATGCATTCACTATAGAGATTACAACTAAACTAATGATCTGCCAGTTGTTACTTCAGCCTAAAATATCTCATTATGCAGCTATATACATATGTGCATGGGTGTAAATGTATATTTACAGTTGCATTCTTTGCTGGGACTTCATGTCTTATTTCATCTTCTAAATAACATTGGTCTGTTTTTCCTTTATTTTGCTAGTAATAAAATTGTCAAGATGATTGAACAGTATTCTTTTTTTTTTTTTTAATTATTATTATTATTCTTGCAATTTCAATCATTAAAACTGCTAAAGGAAAAAAAGAAACAGGCTTGTGTTGAGCCAGCAATGATTTTTGTAAACGGTCCATGAACGGTCCATTTTGTTTTTAATTTTTTTTAATACTGAAGCACTGAAATTTTAAAACAAGTTCATGAATAAGAAAGTGCAAAATAAAAATTTCTAAGTTGTTATGTCTACAAAGTTGTTATGTTAGGACCCTTTCTTTTTCAATGCTTGAAGAAATTGTTTTTTGAGAAAGTAAGACATCCTGTCTTTGAAAACATGGGTTCATTGAATGTTGCTTGTTCTTCTAACTTTAAGAAACCATTGCAGGTGTGTTCTTTTTAAGGGTAAAATAGCTCTCACTCAAGCTTCTATGGATCCACACATTTCCTTAAAATATAAAAACACCTCGACTGATAGTCTGGCAGTGAATCCATCAGTATCCTAAATGGGCCAGGCTCCTGAAGCATCTCAGTGTAACACAGTCTGTCATCTTGCTGCTGGGCCAAGGAATAAAGATGGATCCTGTAGTAACTGGCTTGGAAACGGAATAAGTTGAAAGCAGATTTTTTGGTGCTGTAGTGTGGGGAAAAGATTAGGAAAGGTATGGGGCTGCAAGTAAAGTCCTCCTCACGACARCAGTACCATGGCCGACGATGGGCTGAAATGGCAGCACTGCCTGAGACTGTGAGACTGTGTCCTAGCTTGGCAAGACTGGGACCACTTGGAGCTGTGGATCAAAATCCTTTAAAAATGATTTTAAAGGCCARGAGGCAGGTAATGCCCATGCCAGAGCTTAGTGAACCCCTGAAGAGAAGGCTGTGTAGTGAGAGGCCATTTGCTTGCGGACCAGCAGCAGTCTCCAAATGGACTGTGGCTCATGTGTTCATTTTCAGTAGTCCCACTCCTTGCTGGCAAAAAGATGTGCAGTGTCTGGAACTTCACATCTGCCTGGAACTGGTCCAGCCCTGTCCGGAGATGAAAACAGAGGGTTATGCATGAGCTGGGCTCTCTGGCCATCTATCCAGGGGTCCTGCCCATATCCATGGTGTCCACCAGGTCTCTATCGCAGGGGCCAACCACCTCCCTGCTAATTGGGCAACAATATCCTTGTTTTCTCCAGATCTACTGCCCACCCAAGAGCCATCACCATGGCCAGGATTGCTCTCAGGCCCAGCTCTGGGCTCTGCACCGTTCACAGCACCCGTCGAGGGGAAGGTGTAAGCTGCGAGTTGCTCTGGTCAGTGGGGATGATTCCACTTCTCCTTCCTCTTCTCGATAGCCTTTCAGAAAGAGGTGCAATGGGCATTTTATGTATCTGCAGTGAAGTCTGAATAGAAAGTGATTATAATCAACATGATAGAAAAAAAAAAAAAAGGCATAGAAACTGTTTTGCAGGCACCTGTACGAGGTGGAACTTGGTGTGATGGGGAGAAATGTGGGCAGACAAAGCCGACACATGCATTCAAGCCTTGCAAGTCAAGTCTCTCCAGTGCTTTCAACTTTATACTAGTAGAAATATTCTTATTTCCTCTCAATATCAGTTCCCTTTGTAAGCCAGTAAATGCAATGTTCAAGATTAAAAATCATTCAGCTCATGTCCTGCTATCAACAGGAACTGCAGGAAGCCGTAGCTGTGGTAGGCACCGGATAATGGCAGTGATGGTTAGCATGTAAGTTGCCTTAGCTCTCAAAAACATTTTCTGACTGGCTGATCTGTGTCATGTCTAAATGGTTTGTCTTACCTACTTAATTTTGTTTACATATGGGCTGTTAGGTGCCCCCCATGTCCTGCAGATGTCTGGCTGCAATGAGCCCATGACTATCTTGCACCGTGGGCCCATGTGGCGGGTGAAATGCTCTGCTCAGCCACGGACAAGCTGCTGCTGGTGCCTGGCATTGCAAAGAAGGTGGGAACCGAAATACGAAAGCAAAGAGAGGGAAGGTTCTGAAAGTGCAGAGAAAAAGTGCTCCATGGAAACCTGTGCAAGAATTTTATTGGCAGCTAAGTACGAAAATTCATTAAAGGTCACCGTTCAAAACGATTGCATCTGAATTAGATATGTATTTTATATGCTTAATAATATTAAAAAAACGCAAACAATTCATAACAACATTCAAATAAAATCTCTAGTTACTGCAAGTGATGAAAACATAAAACAAAACAGTGGGAAAAAAAGATATAGGTATATACCCGACATTCCAGCTGTAACATTCTTCATAAAATTTGTAAGATTCGGAAAATCACCCTACTGGAAAGCATTTCTTAAGTAGCATAAACCCAGCCGCCTGCTACTAGAAGTTTTTGCGCAGTCTTTTGATGCATGCAGCATGTTGCACATTTAGACCTAGTTTGTAGCATATAATAAGAGAAAGGAATGARAGCTCCTGCAGATATTTACACAGCCGGTCGTACGCTGATGCGCGACGCTACTCTATATTGGAAATCTTCAGTCTTTTTTGTTTCTATTGATATGCAATCTAAAATTTCTTTTTTTTTGCATTAACTGAGGTAATTAATAGCATTATAACCCAACATAATAAATTACATAATTATTTTAGTACATTAAAATGTTCCTGCCTTAACGCTGTGTCAGTGACAGGCTATGTGTAGGATTCAAAACGCATGCACTGCGTATGCATGTGTGCAGTACCAGTACCAGCGTGAAGGAGCGTGAGCTGCCAGCAAGCAGGATCAGCACCACTGACGGCCATCTGTCCGCGGGACCGGAATAGGGACCCGCTTGGACTCCTCATTTTTATTCATCCGTGGGCTGCAGGGCAATGCGATTTGTTCTGAAGACATCCCCGTGCTGTCCCCGTGYGATGCGTCCGCTGCTTGCTGTTTGTACCAACTAGCCGGGCCCACTAGCCCCTAACACTTTTAAAATCTTTAATTATTTATATGTTTCCTTTTCAAAAAGAGGCAGCATAACCTTTTATGAACGAGCTGGCACCAGAGCAGCGCTGCCGATTTCCCGGCAGCCGGGAATGGCGCCGCGCGGCCTGCGCCTCCCGCCAGGTTCCTGGAAGCGCCCGGCCCCACGCAGGGCGCGCGGTGCCCGCCTGCCCGCCGCGCAGGAAGCGCCGCCTGTTGCAGTGGCTCTTGCGAGCGCCCACAGGCAGCCCCGGCCGCCGCCGATGAAGGGGGTGGCAGCGGCCGGGCCTGGCACGCGCCCTGCGGCCGCTCTGCGCTGCCGCGGGGAGAGGCGGCAGGGCCCCGGCGCAGGTAGGGTGCTGCCTCAGGGCACAACGGGAGCGCGGGAGCTGCCTGCAGCGCTTGCCGACGCCTCCGAAGGCTTCTCTAAGCTCACGCGGTGCTTCTCTCTTTTGCTTTCTGATGAAAAAAAMCCCATATGAAACGAGCTGAAGCACTAAGCGAACTTCCAGCTCACCCTGCTAGGTTACCCTTGCTCTCTCTGTTGATCTCTGCTGCTCCTACTGCMCCCTGCCAGAAACACAAGGAGGGGGAGAGGGGAGCGTGTCAGGCTAGTGAAACCGGAGCATGTTACTCTAAGGTAGCCTATGTGCTTCTCGCAGCCATCATTCGCTTCTGTGCCAGGGATTTTAAAATTCGACCCTCTGCGTATACAAATGGGGCAGAAATGTATTATTTATTTAATGCACAGAGGAAGTTTTGAAGTTAAGCTGCTGTATTCTTTAACTAGCTTTGCTGAGAGGAACTGTTTTCCTTCGGTTGGGCAGGGAGGSATTTTCAAGGCGCTTTGTATGTGGCCAGGTCCTCCCGGAGTGAGCGCTGAATCTTCCACGCGGCTGGTGGGAGAAGATAAATGCTTTCCAGATAGGGGAATCTGTCTGAACACTGCTGGCACCTCAGACTCACCAGCCTACTATCTGGAGGACCTCTCAGTTTTACAACAAACTTAATGTAACTCCTTCAAATGAAATGGTTTGGCTGGGGCAGCACTGGAGACACAGCTCCTTTTGGTTTGTGCTTACCTGCTTGTTGAAAGTGATTTGTAAGAAAAATGTTGACTGTTTATGTATTTTGCTGTGAGTCCTGGGCTACTTTTAAAAATTGTTTTGGTTCATTTTGCTGCAGAGTCACATCTGAAGTCTTCTTCCTCCTTGCTGCTTGTGGTTCTGTGTTATTGTTCATCAAAGAAAAGCCTAAATTGGTTAACAAAGGGCTTTTTTTTTTTTTTTTTTTTTTTTTAACTCTAGGCTACCGCTAGAGATCATGGGTATATCTAGAGATCATGGGTATGTTTCCAAGGAAGCTTAAACTGACTGCAATTCAGGTTTTTGGCAGTCTTTCTTAAAAGCAGTAAATATCTCCCTAAAAGCAGATTAGGAACAGTTATATCAAGGTTAACTAGATTTTTTTCTTTTGATTCTTGAGACAAATGGAGGGGAAAAAAAAGTAGTTGGTCCCAGTGGAGACTAGCAGAGATGACAGAGCCRCTAGTGCTGGCGGAGCAGCAAGCAGCTTATTTACATGAGTGGCTGTTGCACACACGGCTGGGTGGGTGGGAATGACAGAGCGCTTGGTCCTTGATGTGGAGTGCTCCTCGTGGCCGTCCAAAGACATACCCAGAAAACCATATCTTGATCAAGAGTGTTCTGTTCTCTGTGGTTTATAAATGTTACATTTTATTTTTACTCTTCCAGAAACATCATTTGACTCACTGAAGAATTAAAACTGACAGCACCACAGCGCTGTGTGGGAGCAAAGGGGAATTTAGACTGAAGTGACACACTCAAGCCTTGAGAAGTAAAGACGTTTGGATGGCTGCTCACCAAATGGAAGTGATCTAGAGAGTCCTCTGAGAGCGCTGCATCTCTGCACCCAGCTCCTACCGTGTCGGGACGGTGCGCTTGGACCGGACACTGATAAAATGCTGGATTCAATCAAGTGTGTACTGGTGGGAGACTCCGCAGTGGGGAAAACATCGCTCCTGGTGCGTTTCACCTCCGAGACCTTTCCAGACGCCTACAGACCCACCGTGTATGAGAACACTGGAGTGGATGTCTTCATGGATGGTGTACAAATTAGTCTGGGTCTTTGGGACACATCTGGCAGCGATGCCTTCAAAGGCATTCGTCCCCTCTCATACCAACAGGCAGACGTGGTGCTAATGTGCTACTCGGTGGCCAACCACAACTCCTTTCTAAACCTGCGGAATAAATGGATTGGCGAGATCCGCAACCACTTGCCCCGCATCCCTGTGTTGGTGGTGGCTACTCAGACTGACCAGCGAGACATGGGGCCCTATAGCTCCTCCTGCATCAGCCCGATGGACGGGAAGCGGCTGGCGCAGGATGTCCGGGCCAAGGGCTACCTGGAGTGCTCGGCACTCAGCAACAGGGGAGTGCAGCAGGTGTTCGAGTACGCCGTGCGCACCGTGGTCAACCAGGCCAAAAGACAGAACAGGCGCAAGCTCTTCTCCCTCAACGAGTGCAAGATCTTTTGAGCCCCGTCAGCGGCGGTTTTGCCCACGCTCGTTCTTTCTTTGCACAAAGATATATCAGCGGAGACGGCGGAAGGCAAACCAGAGGACTCCCAGCGGGATCACACAGTGCACATGCCTCTAATGAGGCAGATGGATGCTTCATCGGGACATTTCTTCTGTTTGCTTTTTACCCTTTCCATAGGTACTGTCTTTAMAAAAGAAAGATAGAGGTAAACGTCCTTCACAAACCTGTGTTTGGTCTTTGCTGGTCTGGACTGGTGGGGATCTAGTCTGGTAATAGCTGTGCTGATGCTGTTGCTGTCATTGATGTTCCTCAGGTGTTGGTTTGTCTGCATTTATTTAATGATGGAAACGTCTGCCTGGATCTAACCCTCTCCTGACAAATCCATGTGGAATTTTTGTACTCTAAGAACTTTATATATAAAGCCTGACCATTGTATATTCTATTTAAAAGACTTTTCTATATGTTGCTGTAAAATCCTGACAGAATTTATTTTCATATATTGGAAGCATTTTTCCTRTAGCTAACCACAAAAACAAACTGTCCTGTCCATAAAATAATGGTCTGCAGCCTTGCAGTTCTTACACATCCAAGCTACTACACAACAGTAATCAAAGCCAGTGCGCCCAGATCCGAAGTGATAAAAAACTAGTGACATTTCATAGTTGTCCCGTGGATTTCTGAGATCTCTTGTTTTCTTTGTCTCATTCCTGGTACGCTGGATCCCGTCTCAACAACCTCTTTGAAATAGGAAGAATTGGGAAGAAACTAATCTGTTATCTTCTTAAAATTGACTTGGTTGTAACCTAGAAGAGTTGGCTTGTGGTGGGCTGCTTTAGATACATGGGTGATGGGACAGGAAGAAATCTGTGCTATCACCTCTGTTGCCTCTGAGGTATTTCTGGTGCCAAAGGATTTCAGTCTCTAGGGAAGAGAGGTGGTTTTTTCAGAACTAAAATTCTCGTATATTTTAGTATGCTTTTTCTTTTGCCCCCCCCAAACAGTTGTTTTATTGAAAACAGTCACTAAATGTAATTAAAAAAGATAAGTGCATGGCAATGTTCCACGCCAATATTTCAAATGGCTGAGCAACTTTTTGGGGAGTTTTCATACTGAGCATAGTTAGAAAAGCAGAGAGTGAAACAGGCTTCGCATCCTGGGGAGTCCGGCAAATACAAGAGTTGAATCCCGAGGTATTTGGGAGTTAGTCTCCGGAAGAGAAAGGCAGAGGTGGGAACTCCACATGTGCCTGAGAGCTGTGCTGCAAGGCGGGTGTGGGTTGAGCCCATGATGTGTGTCATACATTCAATACACACATGTGATTTGCAGTGTCCCCCTTCTCTTCAGGTTATCTGCACAAAATTCTCTCCTCTGAAGCCACCCCCAGATCTCGCAAATCTGCCCCATCCCAAGGTTTCTGCTGCCYGGAGTGGAAATCTCTTTGAGGGGATTTTAGTGTTGCAAGATTTTTGTTCTTTTTCCCTGCTCTTTGGCTAGCTCAGCGCTGGCTTTCAGGGGGTTCAGAGCACAGGGCCTGGAGAGGAAGCTGACAGGACAGTAGGATGAGCCTCCTGCCATGGGGATCCCAAGAGAACAACCCCAGTTTCAGCTGAGCTCAACCYGTGTATTTCAACAGGAATGGATGCACGGGCTTACCTGATTCAAATCCAAAGGTGGGAACTTCAGGAGTCAGCTAACTTAGCAAATAAACTGTAGTGCATCTTTCAGTTTAGTCCCTGAAAAAGTGGTCAGCAGGTCTCCTCATTGCTCTATCTCTGAGCTTCTCCATGAAGAAAAGTGCAAATCAAATGCTTCTCCTCCAATGAATCCCAGAGATGATCTGACCTGTGAGGTAGTGTTTGCATTTCGGCCGTCTTGAGGAGCAACTGTGCACAAAACACCCACCAACCTCATCTGAAGAGAGGCTTCTTGTCATAAAATGCACATTGGTCTCATGAGAGGCTTTTATACCAGCTTTATATCCTTGTAGGCTTCTGCACCCTCGAACACAAGGCGAGGGCTCCCCTCACCACCCAGCCTTCCTGTGGTATTCTCCTTCCTGCCACTCTCTCTCATTCTAAAACTTCAGACACAGAGTGCAAAACCTTTGCCCCCTGAAACACTAAAATTGATTATGTTTGCAAAAGAACCCGAACAGCGTGGCACTTGGGTATAGCTGCATAAATACCCAGGTATTTGCAGTCCTCCCCTAAAAACCTTTTGACTTTTGGAACACACACCTTTCTCCACCTCAGCGCTTGCAATGCCTCTTCACKGACAGTTGTCTTTTTTGTAACCCTAATTTAAAAGTAGCTATTGTTATTGTTTGAACATTAAAGAATAAATGCAAGAYATCACAGTGTTAGTCTCCAAATCTTTTACCTGTTTTTGTCCCTACCCCACTAACTGAATTAATACCTAATTTTTTCTACTTTTATTTGAGATACRTTTTTGTCACCATGTTCCATTAAATGGTCATTTTTTCCTTCTGTGGGTTAAGCTTTGTTTACAACAGTTCACATATATTTATATACATATACAAATACGCATATCTATCTCATATATATCTCTGTGTACATATATGTGATTTGAAGAGTTAATAACTGCTCGGCCAGCATGCTCTGCTGTGATATAGGCCTTGGCATGGGGCATTCAGTGCCCAGAGGGCTGCAGGGTGGCTGCAGCCAGTCATAGCAGAGTCRGATGAATACGTGTTTCAGAATGACAGCCCAAGGAAATTCCCATTTCATTCACATTTATTTCACCAGGCTTGTTATAGTGTGCTACAAGTGCAAAATGAAGAAATGCAGGTTTATTTGCAGCAAAGCAAAGCAGATGGGGTACTCAGAGCCGTGTGAGTTTATCACCTCGGATTCATGGGAATTTGGGGTGTTCTGATGTGCTCTAGATTGGGGGTCCTGGTGTGAGGTCACTGGGTAAAATCAGGCTGAGTTTTAATATCAAATCAGAGAGAGAAATGCGAGGAGTGAAGGGAGGTTGGGTTTGGTGCTGGTCCCAGCGGAGCGGCTGYGAGGGGAAATGGGTGGCGGGCAGGGACCGACCCCTTGGGCCTCCCGTCACAGCAGCCCGGGCTGTTTTGCTCACGTTACTTGGGCGACGGGGTCCGTGGGTGCAGCTCTCTGATAAGAATCTGCCTCTAATATTCAAAAGAGATTCAAATGACACCTGGGCAAAAGTCGTTTCGGATTCTTTTCCTCCGGAAAAAGCCAGCAGGTTCAGGGAGAATAACACGCTGTGCAGCATCGTGTCGGCTGTGCTGATTCTTTCTCAGCTCAAAACCTTGCCCAAATGTTCTGTTTCAGCCTTTCCCAAGCAAACCATTTCATTTTTTTTTTTTTTTGCTGTTAAAATGGCTTAAAATGATTAAGAAAAGAAAAAAGGAAAGAAAAAGAAAAAAAAAAGAAAAGAAAGAGAAAATATTTGAAACAAAGACAGAAACGCTACTATGGTTTTTGTCATCATTTGTCTTTTCCTTCTGATAGAAAAAAAAATAATTTTGGGTTACTCATTTTTAAATTAATTCTGCTCCCACTTTACATAAAAAGGTTGGATGGCAATGCAGTTCTCATTAAGATCATTAACAACTCCTTCAGCAGCATTCTTTTTTTTTTCTTTTGTAATTTGAAAAATGCAATGAGAACACATTTTGCTATCTGAAATACAGATTTCACAGCTTTTTCATACTTACTTGATCCACCACACACCACACAAACCTTTTCTAAGAATAAACAATAAAAATAAGTTTCTGATTTTTTTTTTCCCCCCAGAATTTTCATGGGGGAAATTGTTCAAGCCCGTTAGATATAATTAACGATGTTTTGTCTGTCTGATAGCTGCAATTAGCAGTTTGCAAATATTTGTGGGATTCTGGTTTTAACTGCTGGTGCCTGCCTTGCTCCGCTTGGCAAAGCTTCATGCCACGGCTSCTTCTGTTTCTGCTGTTGCCTTCTCAGCTTCGCGATGCGGGGGGCAGGAACCGGCGGCGCAGCGGCACGGACGGGGCAACTGCTGAGAGCAAGGCGAGTTTCCCTGCACTGCATTTTGAGCACTAATTCCCTGGCCATCTCACAGGGACCCTCCTGGAGTGCTTCCCTGCTCCCTATATGTGTTACCCTTTTACAGCATCTGATGGAGTAAAGGGCAAAAGGGGAATATTGTGCGTTTTATCTCCCTCTTTCATGGTAGAACTGGGGCATAACTGGAGACAGAAGATGATCCCAAGATGCACTGTTTGGCCATAAAGTCCCCTAAAATAAAGTGTTTGGATTTACCCAAGCATGGATCCCCTGTTCAGGATAGATGTCTGAAAACATGTTTAAGTTAGGGCCCAAACTGCAAAAAGACAGCATTGTCAGCAGCACCTGTGTCACTAGGAATCCAAAGTGATGYGATCAAGGTCCCTTCTGCAGAGTTTTGAAAAGATGACACCTTTAGGAGCTTTGAGAATGGGATCACAGGTGCCCAGGAAGGCGCTCCGTGCACACCCTGCAGCTGCTCTGGGTTTGAGCCCGTCCTGCCTAGCACTTGTGTCGATACAGAAAACACGTTCAGAGCAGCCTTTTTATACACGGTCCCTTAACCACTGCAGCGATAGGACATGAAGTAAAAGAAAAACTGGATTGCTCTCCCTGGATGTGAGGAAACGTGCGTTTGCCTCAGGGATTGCAGGTAAGAGCCCTCGTTCAGTTACCCCTTGCAGCTGAGCTCCTGCATACCCTTCACRTTGCGCTCCGAGCAGCCAGCAGCTACTAACAGCATTTGCTGGGGAAGCGACATTTTGGCTCATTTGGGTGCTTACACTGCCACAAACGTTTGCCTGCAGGGCTTTCCCTTGGCACTGTTGGTGCTGTTTTAAAAATCYGCCTCTGCCCCGCTCCCGACCGGAGCTGGCTCCTGACTTGAGCTACGGTGCCGGTGTGCGGGCCGGGATGCGCTTTTGGGTATCCCGGCAGGATGGGATGAGCTTTTTGGGTATACC